CGGCCGAATGCATTTGGAGATGGGCAGATGACTTTGCAGCTGAAGGCAGGACACTGGCTGCGTGGCATATCATGCCATGCCATCCTTTAGGGGAGCCGCGGTGAACCAGTGGCGGAACAACCCATGATGCTCTCAGCAGATGATCGAGGGCGCCGAGGCTTGTTCTCTCCCTTCCAAGTCCTCCAGCTGCCTCTGGAGGCCCTCCAGGGAACTGGGTGCAAGGACCCCGCCACTCCTCACTCACATGGGCTGCTACCCCTTTTCCGTGCCCTGCTTTGCTATAAAAAAACCTTTCAATGCCTCAAATAGCAGGCTGAGGTTGTAATGTACTCATCGGTCTTTTACAAGAGTCCCATATGAAGTAGCCCTGCCTTGTCAGTACTGATGAGCCATCGAAGGGAGCAGCCAAGGGGGATAACAAAGGAACTGACAAAATGAGGCTGCTGCAAAGACCTTTGCCTGTGTCAGAGAGGCTCTTGCGCCACTGCCAGCTCCTGACTCACTGGCCTGAGGGAGGCGTCTTTGTGCCTCCCTGTCCACGGAAGCGCTGGCAGTGGCGGGCGCCACTGCATGGAAGAGGCATAGCCCACCACCCCGTCTTCCACACAGAAAGCACCAGCTCCCTCTCAGCTTCTTGGAAAGCCCTGCCAGGAGCATCTGCCCAGCAGCAGGGGGCTGCAGCACCCCCCCCCCAGTGGCCTGACAAAAAAGCAGCCCGATCTTTCCTGGGAGCTTGCAGGTTTGCACCAAAACTCTTGAGTGTTTGCGGGATACTCACCCGCTCCCTCGGGCCACGGGGAATCAGAGGGCCCTCTAGAAAAGGGTTCCCATCCCTGGGAAGTCCTGCCACAGCAGCGTGGGCCTTTGCGGTGGCTGCGCCGTGTTCCCGCAGCTGCTTATTTCCTGGGGTCCCACCCCACCTCTGCCTCGCTCTGCATCCTCTGCAGAAGAGGAGCGTGTTGCTGAAGTCAGTTGCAACAACACCACCACACTGCAGCACAGAGCAAAGCTGATTCCAAGCGAAAAAGAGCTGGGCTCACCTTTAGGGTTGCTCCTTCCGCTTAAGGCCAGTCCTGGGACCACAGGAGCCTTCCCAGCTGGATCACCTATTAACAAGATGCCATCTCCTGGGAGTAATGATGCCAGGCTTGCCCCCATCTCAGGAATATCAGCTCATTTACTGGGCTTTCCCATGGAATTTGTGGCTGCCTGCCTCTCAGAGATGCTTGGTTTACCTCTAGGCTGACCCCCCATGGAACGAAAGCACCTGCGCCTGCTTTGCTGTCTTGCCTGTTGGATCACCCTGTAATTTGCTGACATGCTTCAGCCAAAGCAGGAGAGTAGGAGAAGGAAGGGCAGGTGCACAGCCTTTGTCAGACTGGCGCTGCACAGTAGCAAGAAAAGTGGGATGAATCCGGAGCCCTTGCTGCGGGAGAACCATTGTCATCTTACTTCTTGGCTTTCCAGAGGCATCAAGTCGGCCAGTGTGGCAATCCAGATACTGTTCCAGATGGACCCGTGGTTTGATGCAGCTACAAGGAGGTTCTGAATTGTGGTGTCTGTATGTGTGCCTTGAGCTTGTCTTCATTTTCTGTTGTTGTTGTTGTTGTTTCCTTCCATATTCTGGCAAACCAGTGTACAAGCGCCTAAACAAACAAACTGCTCCTAGTTTGGTACGCTTCGTGTTTGGGCAAAGACAGCCTTTCCTCTTCCCTGTTCAATGTACATTATAATATATATTTGGAACGGTTACATGATCTTGCAATATAAGTGCTGTTGATACTTTAATTGCTACCTCTTCAGGATGTAATCAGTGCTTTTAAAATACACCATGGTGAATCAGTATCAGCAAAGAAAAATGCAGGAGCTCGACTGTGGTTTTCTTGGTTTCTGATAAGGAAAGCTTAGGTTGTTTGGGGCTTTCTGTTTAGGTTTCTTAATGGGAGTGTAATTAGAGATTTGGTTTGCCATTGTGGAGGGGGAAAGAGAGCCAGCAGGAATGGGTGGGCCTGGTTGCGCACCGCCTCGCTCAAGCCTTCTCTGGCGCCTCTCCCTGTGGCCGTTTCCTTTGCAATGCGGCGTCTCATCTCGGGCCTTTTGGACTGGCCCACCTCTGGCTGGGACGCTGCTGAGCAGCACCCTCACTCCCCGGGAGCCACTGCCGTTCAGGGCATCCTCTCTCCCAGACCCCTCCAGAGCACCTTCATCCCCGGCATGACAGGCAGCTGTCAGTCAGCTGATCCTCCATGAAAGGCAGGTGTGGCAGAAGTCATGCGCCCTCCCGTGGGATGAGGGTGTGCATGATGCAGCGCTGGAGAGCACTTTAAATTCTGGTAAATCTTGCGTGCTTCTTTTGCCTACTGAAGAATACTGTCTTCATGTTCCTTATCAGTGAAACTTCCTTCAGGGCTGTCTGTGCTCAGGTGATCCCTGTGGTTTGGCACACAGCCAGAGAGAAGTGAGAGAAGCACTCCTTGGGAAAGAATCTGACCCTGGGATATCGCACCTTAGCTTTGTGCAGTTTCTTCTGTGGCATTTAGCAGGAATATGCCGAATGGCTGTGCTGAGCGATCCAGGAAACTTCACCTGGGCAGTACCGCTATGCGTCCCACTGCTGTAATTAAAAATGTACTGTACCTCTAGCTCTCCCTGCAACAGTGATAAAGGGAAAGCTGGTTGCAGCCACTGAGCTGGGAAGGGTCTCCACTTGCCCTTTTCAATCAACATGTCACAAGATGCTGCTTGAAACCCTTCTAGGGCCAGCACAGCCTGAAACGCTCACCTGGATGGCTGCGTGTCTGAGAAGGTCCCTGCTTCGTTTTGTGCACTGAGCTCAAATGGTTGTGCAGGTGGCCTGTCTGGGAAGCCCGCTTGCCCGACTCTCCTGGCACTGGCACCCCCGTGCCTCTGCGCGTCTGGGCAGCCTCTGCAGGTGGGCGGCTGCCTGTTGCCATGCGGAGGAGATGCTGCTACATCCACAGGCTGCTTTTTCCTGGGAGCTTCTGTGCTGCCCTAGCTGGGCTTGCTGCCATCAGGCATCCCGTGGCCACCTTGCTTTTAGACCCTCTTAAAAAATGGAAATGGTATGCAGCGTTTCTAAGCCTCGTGCTCATGAATCAGTGCAGAGTCCTCAGGATCGTACATGTTGTGGGAATGTTCTTATAGCAACACATGCTCTTGTCTGTGGGCCAGCTGCTCCCACTCAGGCAGCCTCCCGCTCAGTCCCTCTGCCCCTTCACAAAACGTTTGGCAAGCGAGCGCCTTAAGCAGCTCCCCTTCCCGGCTTCCGTCCTAAAGGGAGGGCAAGGGTGAGCAGAAGCGAAAGAGAGGGGAAACGGTGGGGTGGAGGTAAGCCTTTCACTGTGCTCTGCCTCGCCTGTCAGGCTTCCGGGACAGAAGCTGTAGGAGCATCCTTAGGCACAACGATCGATCCGTTTCATGGAGCTGGGCCTTCCGGGATCCTGTGAAGGGTCCAGGTGTGCTGCAGGTGAGCACGTGTTGCCGGTCAGAGTGCCTTTGACCAGCACCTGGGGAAGGCCACCTGCCCATGGGGGAGGGCAGCAGAGCAGCCATCCATCCTCAGCGGGGTTTGTTGCTGCATTCTTACACTAGCATCAATGAATTTATTTATTTATGTGTTTCATTGCCTGGTTCCGTTTCTTCTTCTTGTGAGCTATCAAGACGGCTTGCACAGGCGAGGGAGGCTAGGGCCACCGCAGTCGCCAGAGCCACTCCAAAGCCCTTCTGAAGCCCACAGGGCTCCAGGAACACGGGGCTGCCTGGTCCCCATGCGGCAGGAGGGGTGTGCTCAGAGTGGGGCCTTAATGGCTTGTCCTGAATCTGGTCTTGCCTCCTCTCCTGAAAAGAAATCCAGCCAGCCCTTTGGAGGAGACGAGGCCCAGCTCCTATAGGGCTTATGGGGCTATTCAGGCCCCCCGCCCAGTGAATTTGGCATGCGCCGCCCCGTCCAGCACAGGCGGCGTGCCCCCTCCACGATCGGTCGCAGCACTTTGCCAGGATCCATCCCTCGCCTCAGTTCCCCTTTGCTATGTAGGGCGAATTATGGCTGACGGAAAGACAACCCTGCAGCTTGTTGCTGAGCCCGGTTGCTCCCACTTTTAATTCAAAAACACCCCCTTTATCTTAGATTTAATTGGGCAATGCAGGTGGAGGATAAGTAGCAAACTCCTGGGTGGAGTGACCTCCCTTAGGGAATCTCGCATTCTTCAAAGTTGAGGTATTGTGGCCTTTTGAAATTTTATACTGCCTTCAGCACCTGTGCAATGAGGTTGTAGCCCACGAGGTGCTACTTTGCGATCCCTGCAATTACAATTCGATCGTGTTGATATTATCTGGTTACTGACTTGAATATTCCTGGTCCATTAGCGCTGCCAATGATTGTGGGAGAGTTTCCTAAAGCTCTGGGTTATGAAGCCTGGCACTGAGCGAGTGCCCCGTTCTTCCCTGAAGATGAGGCAGAGGCAGAGCTTTAGCAAATGGATTCCGTCCTGTGCTGAGCTGCAGCCTTGGACCTGGAAGCGCAGGAGCGTGGACGGGGCCTCTGCTGGAGGCGTAAAGCATGTCTGTGAAGCAGGGCGATGGACTACGTGGTCGGTGCTTTGCAATCCTAGCCTTTTGCGAGTGGCAACTATTTCTTTACAGAAAACCTTCCTGCTCAACGTGCGTTTGCTTGGTTGCTGTCTTCCTTTTAAGTGTGGCTTGCTGCAGACAACGGACACGGTTGTGTCCCGAAGAGCAGCATTTTAAAGCAAAGCAGAGGCGATAGACTTAAAATACTTGGCAGCTATTTGGAGGAAACATGGAAGCAGCCCACCTAGAAGGAAGCAAAGAACTTGACCTGTAGTTACCACATCTCCCTTTCATGCCTAAAAGAAAGCCCGTAAAATGATCTGGGAGGTCATTTCCATTTCCTCTTGCAGGTTTTTTGCAGCTTAGCTTAGGTGCAGCTTCCTGTTAACACAGCGACCCCAAACACGCTGATGAGGAAGAAGGCGCTGCTGCGCACGGCGCGCCTTCTTCCAGCCAGCACGCCCCAGGTTGCGCTGCGGCAGAACGCCCAGGTGCTGTGGCCGGCCTCCCAGGAGACGGGGCAGCCGGCCCCCTTGGCCCTGCCTGTGCCTGCCCCGGAGACCCTTGCTGGCCCTGAACCCGTGTCCAGCAGCCCCTGAGGTTCTGCTGCTTATCCGAGGAGAGACCATCCCCGGACTGCCTCGCGCTCTCTCCTGCCACCCCACCCGTCAGGCTACGGCTGAAAAGCCGGCCAACGGGGAGTTGCTGTCCGGTTGCGTTTCCTCTGATTTCTCTTCAAAATGCCTCAGAACAAAATACTGAACTGCACTGGCCACTTCCTGCACGGCGTTTCGAGCACTTCCTTGCAGCCTCTGAAAAGGGCTGCAGAACTTGGCCGGAGGAGGTGGCTCGTGCTGCGAGGGTGGATCACCAGCACCCCCACTGCTGTGCATCTTACCTTCAGCAAGTTTCTTTGGGTGTTCTCACTATTTATACCCTGCTGTTTTGTTTCATTGTGTGTAGGTGGCACTGCTTCATTTCTTCTCCCCTGAGGATCGCCCTCCCTACAAAGAAAGTCGTCGCGTCCGCAGAAACAAAAGGAGCAAAACCAGCGAAGGCTCAGAGGGTGAGTCCGCTCCTTCCCGAGACTTACCCCCCCCCCGCCTTCCGTGTCGCTGTGCCCGGACACGCATGCCCTCCGCCATAGGTGTCCTCTGGTGTACTTGATGTTTTGGTCAACTTCTTGCAGACTTTGATCTCTTCACACGTGCTCTTAGAACACTAAGTTTCTACTCTCCATTGCATTCATTTGGATATCCATTTTAATATCAAATAGATACTGGCTGCTTTTCCTCCCGTTGAATTGCAGCTGTGAAATCTGCAAGCCCGTCCCCACCCCAGCTGGACCTAACGGCTGCTAAAAATGGTTTTGTTGGGAAGTGTCTCAGACTCATGCCAGGCGTGACAAGGTTGTGGCGAAGCAATTCCGAGTCCACAGAGCATGAAGGGGGTGGTCCTGCTCCAGGAGGGAGTGGGGCACGAAAGGAACTGGTCGCTGCCTCCGTAGCAGAGGGCTCCCAGCTCCGCTTCTCCTCCCTCCGCATGTGTGCCTGGTCTGGAAGCCCTTGGGGGTTCCCAAGGGGCTGGTGCCATGTAGGAGAGACTGGCATGGAAGGCAGCTATCCCTTTATGGCTTGGTGCTTGGCAATAGCCGGAGTGCGGTTGTTTGCTGCATCTGTGGTAGGGATTTAAAAAAAAATCTCTCTCTCTCTTGCCAAGAAGACTTTGCAGTTTCTTAGCTGAAGTAGTTTCATTGTTGCCAAACTCCAAGAACTAACACTTTAATTGTATTTATTTATTTTCCATGCTGCCCAATAGCTGGAGCTCTCTGGATGGTTTGCAGCCACACATAAAAATACAATATAGAATACAAGCCACATTAAAAATGTTAGGGTTTTAAGTGACTTTCACTTCTCCCGATTGCTACTAAATACGCTTGTTGTGCCATTTACTAGCGGGTGCTTCTGTCCAGCGTGGAGCGATTGCAGGGGCGGTGCCGGAAATACCAGTCTGGCCCTTCCGCTAAGGCTGCGGCGCCGTCACGTCTGAATCCCTCCCGCGATGAGGGGCCGCCATCCATTCCTTGAGCACTTGCTCTCTGGGAGGCCGCAGCCGGCGCAGGCTGGCAGGCAAAATCTTCAGGCCAGTCGTGGTCCTCGTGAGGAACACCCCGCGGCTGGCCAGTCCCAGCTGGTTCCTGCTCCTTCGGGAGCACGCGGCTCCTGCTCCCTGCCGTGAGCAGCCCAGGGGCACTGCGCCCTGCGTGCCGTGGCGTGCCGTGGCTGACGTGGCGAGTGCACCCAGAGCTGTGGCTGGCTGGGGAAGAGGCAGCTCTGCGCTGGGCCGCAACAGCCGGGTGCATCCGACCCCAGAGCAGCCCGGCACCTCCGACTCAGGGTCCTTCCTCCGTCGGCAGCCCAGAGCTCCGGCGGTGCGCTACGAGCGCCACGGGCCCCGCGGCCTCAGGGACGGCCAGTTCTTGACGTGGCTGTAAGTCCTCCACGCGCCTCCCGGGAACGGGCTTCCAGGCCGGGGGATCCCTTTGGCTCCGCAGGACAGAACCTGCCGCCGTGCCGGTTTCAGCTCAGGCTCTCTGCAGAATCCCCCCTTACCGGCCGGGAGGGCAAGATCCCGGAAGGCTTTGCCGCTCTTCCAGCATGGCATCCCAGGAGAAACTGTGTTCTCGCCTGCTTGCTCCAAAAATGTCAGTGCTTTGTGTCACGCTGAAAACCCCAAATAAAAACACAGCTGTTCAGACCATTGAATACTAAGCATGGCTCCGTGTTTGAAGCAATAGGGAGCCCTAGTGTGTAAAAATAAACTCAGTTTCCAGCCAAAATGCCTCTGGATATTTTCCTTAAACATATTAATCTGCATATGTTAAAATGGTGGCAGTGTCTGTCAGCTCCTCAACACACAAAACTCTTGGATTCCCACCTAAGAGCCTGAAGGGAAATGCAAAGCTGCATGAGAGTCATCTCACGGTTGTATATTGTGGGGAAGGCAGGCACGGATGGGAGCCTGCAGAACTGCTCCGTCCAAGCCCAGCCCGGCTGGCGCTCTCCTCGCCCCTCACCATGGATGAATAATTTCTGGGCAGGGGTGCCTTGGCTGGTGTCACATTCAGACCAGCCGTGGACCCGGCTCTCTTGAAGTGGGGGCACCTCGGTCTGTGGCTGCGGCTGAAGCTGCGAACTCCCACACCTCCTTCCTGGCGGCAGCAAAAAGGCATCTGTGAGGACTCAAAGGGGGCTGGGGATTTAAAATATTTTGATCGTTTAGCTGTAGACAGTGGTGTGAGGAGAAATGTTGCTGCAATCAACAGAACAGCCTCCCCGGAGCCACGGGCTATCTGAAGGCTGCTCAATGGGCAGCACAACAAACTGCGAAGGGAACCGGCAGCCTGAGCCCCTGGCGGGTTATTTGTGCCACTGTGGGTGCCTCATTTATACGGTCTTTACCTGGCGTAGAAATAAGAAACGAAGCAGTGGTGTGGATGGAATTCTGCACTGCAGGAAAATGGGCTTCGTGGAACTGGAATGTTTCTTTTGTCTTGAACTGTTTTATAAATTCTGGCCACTTTTGGCTCTTTGACTTCAGCACCAGTTCAAATGACTAATACTTCTGTCAGCAGCTTTTTACTCATATTTTATTTGTTGCTCACAGGTGAAGAGAGAACTGGAGCAACTGCTGACAGAAAGGAGCTCTAGTGCTTGCAAGCTGCAACCTGCTGCAAATAGCTGTAGATGTTCTTAAAGTTCTGCGGTCGGCCTGGCAGGTTGCATTGTGAGGATGCGGCACGTGTGGATGTGCAGCCCCCGTTCCCGCAGGAGCCCCACACGGGCCGCGGGCCGCTTCCTCTGGGCAACAGCTAGCTCTCTGGGGTGGCAAACACTGGCCAGGGCTGTGTGCCCCTTGCTTTTATGGGGGACCCGATTGGACTGGGAGGCTTGAAAGAAGGAGCCCGAGTCCTCCTGCTGGATGCGTGCTTCCGGGGCGGGAGGGCACGACAGCACTCCCCCAGGGGGTGCGAGGAGTGGCAGACTCCGCCAGAGCAAGCTGGGCAGGCAGAAGGCCCCCAGATGCTTTGGATTCCCAGTCCCCATGTGCATGACTGCAGACCATGCTGGCTGGGCGTTCTGGGAACCGGAGTCCACACCATCTGGAGATCTGCCTTCCGGCTGGCCGACTCGAGGCGTTGGCTGAAGGTCCTAGCAGGGCAGGTGAGCAGGGGCGTTCCGCGTGTGGCAGGCTCCTGCTGGGCCAGCTCGCCGGCCGGCTCTCTCCGCCAGTGGAAAGCCAGTGCATGGGCTGCCCTGGCAACCAGCAAACCATCGAATGTTTGTTCCGCATCAGTAAAGTCGGGCTGCCTTCGCATCACCCGAACCCTTTCCTCTCCTGATGTGACTGGGAGCAGGCAGCCACCGACAAGGCGTTCCCCCTGCGCGAGACACACCCTTTGGAGGGGCTTTGTCTGGGTGCGTCACAACTCCCTCCCCAAAGCACTCGCCTGGCTCCTGATTCTCGCGTGTTTCGATGCCGGGCATGGGCAGCGTGGTTCCCGAGTTGTTGCAGTTGTCAGCCTGTGTTGTGCTGCAAGCTGTGCGGGCCAGAAGCCTGCTTGATCTATTGCTGCTGCTGCTGCTGCCTGGAGATGCACATGGCTTGTCAGAGGCTAGTTCCTTGTGGTCTCACAGAGCGTTTTTGCATTGCATAAACAGAAACGCTTCTTGGTGGGAGAGGGGAATCCTGCCCCAAAAGGCCGGTGCCGGTGCTCATAGCTGCAGTCCTCTGAAGGAGGCTGCCTTGGAGCAGCCGGTGCCACTGCCAGCCTGTGTGCTGCAGAGGCCAGACACTGAAGGGAGTGGCAGCTGCTGCCAGCAAGTGGCCAGCGTGGCGAGCCTCTAGCTCCGCGTGCCTCGCCAGAATGCCTGCGGCTGCCGGCGTGTCGCTGCTTCCCGCCCGCCCGCCCGCCTCCGAAGGGCTGCCTCTGCACGCCTGGCTAAGGCCTCCTCGGGCTCGCAGGAGACCTCTGCAAGTCCTCGGAGGCTCCTGGCACATTCGGGTGATATCTTGATCTGGAGGAAACATTGCTATTGACACGCTTGGAAAGTTACCAGGCCTTGCAGCCTTTTCCTCTTGTGGAATTTCGCAGCTTGCTTTTGTCTCTCTCTCTCTATCTCTCTGTTTCGTGCCTCTCGGGCCCGGCTGGTGTCTGTGGCTTCCTCACCGAGGCGTTGACTCGCCGCATTCTGCATGGGCTGCACTTTGGCATGTGGCTGGAAAACACAGCGATAGGACTCTCCTGCGCTGGGTGGGGAGAGGAGGGGGGCAGCCGCTTCTTCATCGGCCTCCTACATGCCTCCCCCCATCTGCAGGAGGGGGGCTCACCGTCCCCAGAGATCACCGTGGCCTTTGCTTCCAGCCCTTGGAAACAGCTGTGGTGTTTGTGCGGAGCTCTTCATGTCATTGCATCCCGCACACTCGGGAACTCACCGCCTGCACTGCGGCAGCCCTGCCTCTCTCCCCAGCAGCTCAGAGAAGGTGCCTGGGCTATGAGACGTCTCTGGCAAGGGGCTTGTCCCTCTCCAGCCCCAGCAGCTGTTTGGTGTGGAGCCAAGCCCCCCTCCCCCCAGTAGTCATTTCCGACGTCCCACGGCCCTAAAAGGGGTGGGAATGCTGCTTGAGGAAAGTGCCCCGTGGTTACTGAGCCCGCAATCACCAGAGCGCTCTTTCACGCGTTGATCTGGCGTGTAACAGGGGCCATGCTGGGTCCTTTAACCATTGAGGAGCAGCGGCAGCTGCCTGTCACCAGAGGTGGGTGCTCAGCCTGCAGCCCAGCCAGCAGGGGCTATTGGAGGGCCAAACAACCTTCACACAACCCAGAGTACAACTGTGCAGGGACACGAAGGTTGCTTCTTCCTCAGATGATCTCACTAGCCACGGTCACATGCCATGGCCCCTTCCAGCCAGGCCTGCCTGCTTAGCCAGCCTGTGCTGAGCAACTCCAGCAAAGAAACCCATGACGGGCTCCGTGTCAAGCAGACCAGCTTAGACCCACGGGCT